TTGGGTGGCAACTGACCAATCACAACAACAAAATAGATCCATTGCTCATAGGGTAATGAAGAAATCTGTAATTTTACCGATTCAAAAGGGCTGCTGTTGCCAGTTTTACAGGATTCTTTTTTTAGAATATTATTTTTATGATAAATAATAGAAATTGAGATTATATTGATAAACTACAAATAATAACATTTTAAACTTGTTGTGGGTTATTTCCGCAACAATAATAATAATAATAATAATAATTGAACTTATTTATAATATCTAATATAGGGTGTCCACTTAGTGCGATATCGGACGATATCTCCTTACAGGGTGATGCAAGAAAAAAAAATTAAGTTACAAAGTTGTTTCATACTCTAATATGCATTAGTCAAAAATATTTTTGAATATACAGTTTTCATGTAATATACCCTATACCTAAGTTCAACTGTTTTGGAAATATTGACAGTTGAAAATTGACTTTTTGAAACTTTGACAGGCTGTAAAGCCTAAACGGTTAATTTTAGACGAAAAACGATTTTACATTTCTATTTTAGATTTTTATAAACTATCATTTGACACCACCTTTGAATTTAATCTATGATTAAAAATTTCAGTTAAATTTAATCTCCGGTTAAATTCAAAGATGTTGTCAAATGATAGGTTATGAAAATCCAAGACAGGAATGTAAATTCGGTTTTCGTCTAAAATTAACTGTTTAGGTTTTATAGCCTGTCAAAGTTGCAAAAAGTCAATTTTCAACTGTCAATATTTCCAAAACAGTTGAACCTAAGTATAGGGTATATTACATGAAATCTGCTCAGAATTTTACGTAGAATCCAAATATGTATTAACGATCATTTGGTGCCTCTCGTTGGCCGGCTAGCTGAACAATAACAAAGACTCCGGGCACTACATGATGTTAAAAATTGAAACAATTTGAAATAAAACACACTCATTAATTTTCTAATTGTGTTGCCGAACTTTTTGATGCGAAAAACCTGTTTTAATTATGAAAATGTAAAAGAAAAGCCGGAAACTCAAAAAATGTCCAACGTAACGTCAAGTTCGCTGCGAGCTTCTGCCTCGAGCGAGTCCCTCTCTTTCTCTCCAAAGACGCGTGCGTGGTGTACCGCACTATTATTACGGTTGTCAACGCCTGTGGCTGTGAAATTACAGGTTTCTTCAACACCTATCTATAACACCCCCCCTTCTGAGAACATGTTTTCGGCATCAAAGTTCGGCGCGTTCATTACTACAAAACACCCTAAAAAAAACAACAACAAAAAAAATAAGTACATTTGAAAAAGAAAAATAAATAAATTTGAAATTGAGAAATAATATTAAGTTCTAATTATGTTTGATTGATTTTAACCTTACAGTTCTTCCGTCTGTTGGTTGTCGTTCCATGATGTGATTGCTTTTTCATTGGGAAAATTGCCTCAGCTCATCCGTCTGGTAGGCTGTAATTGTTTAATATTTGATTTGTGGTGGTTGATTGCCTCAGTTCATCCGTCTGGGTACAATTGTGTTGCAATTTATTGCAACTTAATCACAAATGTAGTCTTGCAAGTATGCAGGAGGTTTGCATGTACGTGTTTTGTTCGGCCTAGTTTGTGGTTGAGTTTGAGTGCTATCAGGCACTGATGATATCAAATTCGGTATGTAGCTTCCATCATTTTCAGAGTGACCGTCTTCCTCAAATTCATCTAAGGATATAAGGAACTCTTCTATTTCATTTCCTAGATGTCCTTCATGGTCATGAAATTTGTCATTATCGGGAAAATATTCAATGTTGAACTCATTATTACTGAGCTGTCCATTGTCATCTTTGTTGTCGTCGTGGTCTTCTTCAGAGTCAAGGTTTGACATTTCATAACTTAGTGGTTGTTTTTCTGGAAGAAGGCGTAAGTCGTCAATGTGAACCTTAACGTCTGAATCATTTGGTCTTATTTTATAAATTGAGTCCGATAAAACTTCTAAAACTTCATAAGGTCCCTCCCAAGCTAGACCAAATGCATCATTCTTGAAGCATCTTTGAATGATTTTATCTCCTACTTGAAAGCAATTTGGTTTCTTCTTCTTGCCAACATATTTCTTCTGGTACTGGATTTGTTTCTCCCTCATTTTGGTAAGCTTTTCTTCTCTTACATGGCCGTGATTGACCACAGGAACTTTGAACACAGGGTGATTTCTTCCTCCTGGTGATGGAAGTGAGTATCCCAAAAAGGCTTGTGCGGGAGATTGTCCTGTTGCTGCATTGGTACGGTTCCTTAAACAAAAGAGGACGCGGGGCACATACTTGGGCCAGTGATCTATGCTTTTATTAAACAAAAATGCTCTAAAAGTCTTTTTTATTTCTTGATTTCTGCGTTCAATAGGATTTGCTTGTTGATGATAAATAGCAGTTGTGAAAGTTTCGATTTTGTGTAATTTACAATATTCTTGAAAGACACTGGCCTGAAGTTGTGTTCCGTTGTCCGAAATAAGCAGATTTGGGTACCCTAACCTCGGAAAAACATCAGTGTCTAAAAAATTAATTAAGTCTTTAGCTGTAGCCGTATGGGTTGTTTTAGCTTCGACCCATCTGGTGAATATATCTTCAATGACAATTATAAAACGATCTCCCGAAGTAGCCTGGGGGTAAGGTCCTAATATGTCAATACTAAAAACTTCACCTGGATTATTAGAAAAGTGAGCGGTTAAAGGTGCTTGTGTTTGTAAGTTACGGCCCTTGATAAGTTTACACATTATACAATTTTGTACGTATTTAGAAATATCTTTTCTAATTTGTGACCAATAGTAAAATTTGGAAATAGTAGTGAAAGTTTCATCCCTTCCTGGATGTCCTGCAAAAAGGGAATCATGATAGCAATAAAGGATTCTGTCTATGCAGTTATAGGGTACTATTAGTTGATTGGTGTCACGTTTAAATAATAGGTTATCTTGAACCTTGTAAAAATCAAAGAATGCTTTTTTAGAAGTTGAATTTGTAACATTTTGTTCAATTTCTTTCCATAGTTGTATGTCCTCTTGGATTCTTGTGTTATTAGTTTGAGCTATTGCAATTTAATTAAAAGGTGAAGCGTCATTGATAGGGTAAATTAGTTTAACATTAGGAATATCATTTAATTCATGTTTATTTTGATTGTCTAAATCTGGAGGGAATAATCTGGATAGGTCTGTTACTTCTTGGGAGATAGTTTCATTCACAGCATTTCTTGAAAGGAAGTCTGGAAATTCATTTAATTTGCCTGGACAATGTTCAATTTGAAAAGAAAATTCTGACAGCAATAAGGACCAACGTGTGAGCTTGGCTTTGGCATCAGAATTTTTATTAAGCCACAAAAGCGCTCGACTGTCTGTAATCAGGGTAAATTTTTGATCTTCAAGATAAATTCTATATTTTTTTATTGCCCATATAACACAAAGGCATTCTTTTTCATTTATATGGTACTTCCTTTCTGTTCTGCTTAACCTAGCACTAGCATAAGAGATAATATGTCTCTCTCCATCTGAATTAAGCTGAAAAAGAACAGCGTTCATTCCCACCTCACTCGCATCAGTCTGCAAGTGGAAGGGTAAATTGCTATCTGGCCTATGTAATTGTAAAGGTTGTGAAACAGCCTCTTTAACTTCTTCAAATGCAAGTTGTTCTGCATGACCCCACTTCCACTTTACTTTCTTCGCGAGTAAGTTTGTCAAGGGAGCCGTGATTTCAGCCAGGTGAGACACATGCTCTCTCAGCCAATTAACAGTACCTAAAAATGATTGCAATTCTCTTTTGTTTTTTGGAGGTTGAAAATTTTTAATTTCTTCCAAATGGAAAGATTGAGGTGAATTTAATGGGCCATTAATGGTATGTCCCAGGAAATCCAAATTATCTGTGGCAAATCTACACTTTGACAATGAACACTGAAGCTGATGAATGCTGAGTCTTTCCAAGACTAATTTTACGTGCTTTTTGTGGTCATCATGATTTTTTGAATAGATGATAATATCATCGAGATAAACTACAGCAAATTTATGCAAAAACCCTGTTATAACTTCCTGGGACTTAAGTTTTTGAAAACTGCTTGGAGCATTTTTTAACCCAAAAGGCATTACCGTAAATTGGTAGTGTTGCCCGTCAGAAGTTGAAAACGCGGTAAGGGGTTTCGTTTGATTTGAAAGACCAACCTGCCAGTATCCACTTCGTAAGTCTAACGAAGTAAATACTGTGGCATCACCGAGTTCTTTTAAGGTTTCATGAATTTTAGGGAGTCTTACGCATTCATCCTCAGTCAATTCATTTAAACGCCTATAATCCACACAAAATCTAGGTTTTTTACCGGGTCTTTCTATGATAACTGGTGAACTTGAGTATGGTGATACAGAAGGTTCAATAATCCCACTCGCAAGCATTTCTTTGATTTGCTCATTCATTATTCTTTTCTTGTGATCACTTAATGGATAAGGTTTGGTATTAACTATGGAGTTAGATTTGAGTCGAATAACGTGTTCAGTTGAACGAGTTACTGGTCATTTCAATGAATCATCAAACAAGTATGAAAACTCTGATAACATTTGTTGATAGTTTCTTTGTAAGTCCTCATTCAGATGGTTTAGTTGAAATTCTGATATTTGTGGCGATCGGGATTCGACATTTGAACAAAAATAAACAATACGTCGTAGCTGGTTTCCAAAATGAAGACAACATCTATTCATATCCAAGACGACTTGTTGATCGAAAAACCAGGAGCAGCCCAAAATGCAGTCGTCTGGCAAGTTAGGAATGACCAAGAATTCTGATATCAATTCCACATCAAGAATGAAGTATTTCACTTCCATAAAACCATGAGTTTGAATTTTGACAGGTCCACAACCGAGGTTCAATGTTTTTTCTCTGAGTGTTGGGAGAACTTTGAAAAATTTTGCTGATATCAAGTTTATTGATGCACCAGAATCTAGAAGAGCTTTTATTTTGAAGTCATCAATGGAAATTTGAATTTTCGGTGGAGAATTCATTTGTGAAATGGTATTTATTGATTTGAACGATGAAGGGAAGGTGCTGTTGGTCGACCTTCCCCATTGGAGTTTCCCTGCTGTTCTCCTAGAGGTCTGACATTTCTTCTGTTTGGATTGTCTGGACATTCGCTATGAAAGTGCCATTCATTGCAATATCTGCATCGACTTGGAGGTTTTATTGCCTGTGACTGATTGAGATTGCGTTCCATTCTCGGATGTTGTCTGTCTTGGTTTGCCATGTTAGAGTTGGTTGATTGAGATTTTGGGTTCTGATATTTTGGAATTTGTGAAAGATCATTTTCAATTGTTGTTACTGTTTGTGATAATTGTTGAATGGTATTGAAGGTAAGTCCTCTTATTCTGGATCTTATATCTGGCTGGAATTGCTCTATAAGCATGTTCACTAGCAAGCTTTCTGGGTTATTTGGCAAAAGGCGATAGAATAAGCCTTGTTTTCTTGATATGAATATGCTACAAAGTTCATTTGGCTGTTGATGTGATCCATAAAGCTGTGATGTTAGTTGGGCCAATGTTTGCATACTATTGAACTTCTCGTGGAAGAGAGATTTAAACATATCCCAAGATAAGTTGGCGTTTCTGTATACTTGGAACCATTTGGATGCTTGATTTTTGAGGCATTGTGCTGCTATTTCGACTTTGTCTTCAGTAGAAGTGTTGTTTTCATTGAAATATTCCTCTAGTTTTGTGATAAAGTTGCTTGGATTTTCAAATTCTAGTCCATTAAAACTTGGGCGTGGACGTTTTTCTTTTTTGTCGATAGTATTGGCTATAGTTTGAACAGCTTTCAGAAATGATTCGGTCATGTCCATTTGACTTAAATTTGATTCGTGGTTTTCCTTATTTTCATTTGTCATGAAACTCTGTGCAAATGGATTCGACTCTACAAATTTATGATGACCAGCTTCAAAAAATTGTCGAGGTTGAGGCTGGAAGACTGCTCTAGTAGCTGGTGTGAGTGGTGTGTAAGTATCGTCCCTTTTGATTTCACTTATTTCCAGATAGTTTTTTGAATAGTCTATCGAGTCGAAAAATTCGTCATCACTTTGATCTGACATTTTAAAGTTTTTCCGAAAGGATAAGAGTGGCCACAAGTTATAGTAACGCCAACAGTAAACCAGCTAGCATGAATTTTCAAGAATCGTAAGAATACACCTAGTATAATTAAGTGAACAATGTTTTAAGGCAAATCAGTGATACAATTAATTATAAGTGTTTAATTCTTTGACTGAAGATTCGAACAAACATTAGAAATAGTCATAGACCCTTCAATTCAAACAAAACATTCGTTTACTTACTTAATTGGGGGAAAAAATCTATTCAAGCAGTCATGTTTTGATTAAAATAAATGAACAAGAGAATTGCACGTCTATTTAGATTATAATAACCTGAATTTACAGTATTTATGGTATAAATTTGGTAGATAATATATTCTTTTTAAATGAAAAAAATTGAGGTTAAGGTACCTTTTGTTTTTATTATACCTACATTTGAATTCTTTAATTAGGGATCATATTTATGATCAAAATCTTTCGGGATTCTTGAGGTTGATATGAGGGGTGGTCCTGAATAATTCACTGTTATTCAACTTACCTTATAAACTCGTTGGGCGCCATATTAACGATCATTTGGTGCCTCTCATTGGCCGGCTAGCTGAACAATAACAAAGACTCCGGGCACTAAATGATGTTAAAAATTGAAACAATTTGAAATAAAACACACTCATTAAGTTGTCATATTCCTCCATAATATCACGACATTGTACCTTTTACGACCCTCGAATACTTTCCCAAATAATGTCTCGCCGTCGCCGAAAGCAATACTATTATATGACCCAGACTTTCTGTTAAAGAACCCAAAGATATTGTATGTAAATAAATTAAACATTTGTCCACCATAAACCCCAAAATTCCCAAATAATGTCTCGCCGTCGCCGAAAGCAATATTATTATATGACCCAGACTTTCTGTTAAAGAACCCAAAGATATTGTATGTAAATAAATTAAACATTTGTCCACCATAAACCCCAAAATTCCCAAATATCCTTAATGGTCATTCTTTGGGCGAACAGACTGTCATTTATTGCCAATATTTATTTAGGGTTTTCCAGTTGTAATTATGTAGGTTTTAGAAACGTTTTAGAAGGGATGTAAAGGTCGATTTGTAAGAGATCTAGTGAAGCAAGAAGACAGTCTTAAAACAGCTTCAGTCGTAGTAACACATTTTGTTAAAACTCTCTCTAAAATAAGTCTTACTTTTGCTGTAGTTCAATTTCATTCTATATTCCATTACCTAATAAAGCTACAAGTTTCAAACCAAAAACAAAAGTAGTTTTAACCAAGGCAAAACACTGAAGGATCACAACAAAAGGCGATTTTCAGCCTGGAATGATTATTATTTGGTTATAACCAACGCATTTCCGCCGTCGCGGTTTTAACCAAAGTAGGGGAAGTTGTGACGTCACATATCAGCTGATTTGCTTTTGGTATTTACCACTTATAACCGATTATAACCCAGCTTTGGACTTGGGTTAATCTTTTGGTTATAGCTTTTTGATGTTATTGTTATTATTTTTGAAATTTGTATTGGTGTTTTGTGATTTTGCAGTTGCGTTGTAGCCTGGCACAATGAAAGAAGTATACATTCACTCACTCACTGCAATTCACCATGTTTAGATCCAGGTTTAGATCATCCCCAAAGAAAATCTGTTCGATAAACGACACTAACGAGATATTCAACTCCATTTTTTGTACCTAAACAAAAAACTATTGTTGAAACGAAAAAACAAATAAGAACAATAAACCTAATCCTACACTGCTATAACCAAATCATTTCAGCGGTCAGTTCCTTGGGTTATGATTCTTGCATGGTGGGGGGCTATGACATCACACTTGGCTGTCAAAGTTGTCAACCAAAAGAATAACCACGGTATTTACCGCTAAATAATCATTCCAGGCTGAAAATCGCCTTAAAAGAAAAACCGGAAACTCAAAAAATGTCCAACGTAACGTCAAGTTCGCTGCGAGCTTCTGCCTCGAGCGAGTCCCTCTCTTTCTCTCCAAAGACGCGTGCAGCGGCATCTGGTGTATCGCACTATTAATACGGTTATCAACGCCTGTGGCTGTGAAATTACAGGTTTCTTCAACACCTATCTATAACATATACAATCACATACGGGGTGTTCCATTTGAAATAACAAAGTTCTGTCGCATACCCCATAAACGAAGCACCCTGTATATTCAAAATTCTTTTTAATTAATGCATATTAGAGTATCAAACAACTTTAATTTTTAGCTACCTTTTTGGAGTTTTTGGAAATGATTCACCACAAATTTGTGAGAAAATCGTCAAAAATGTCCAGAGAAAAGCCAAAAGCAGCGTGCTTCTTCTTTGCTCACTTACAATCCCTGAGAGGGATTTTTACTTCTGCACCATTCAAATTTTCGCGCTCTATCAAGCTTAAGTTAATTAACTTATTCAATATTCGATTATAATCATTGTCCAAATTTATTCGACTGGTAAACTATTACATAGGTATTAAATTGAAACTTGATCTCAAAAAAAAAACAATAAAAATTTCAACATTCCAAAGATGCATTCCAAAAGAGAATTTGCTCGATTTTGACCTTTATTACCACTGACAATCAGGCCAATGATGTATCATTTTCTGTTATTTTAACAGCAACGTTAAGTTGCCTGTCACTTTTTATTCTATACGTCAAAATAGAGAGAAGTATAGATGTCGACCTGTAACATAGCTGTTAAAATAACAGGAGTGGATACATCATATGCCTGAATAACTTAATATGTGATTGAATTATTTAAAATGCGGACCCTGAGATATTATAAAAAGAATTAAAATTTCGAAAATTACGAAACTAACAACAAACAAAACGAAAAAAACTTTGATAAATTTACTAAATTAACGACGAAGAAAGTTCAAAAATATTAGTTTGGTCGGAAAATACTAAATTGCCAATAATAAAAATTTCAACCCGTAACAAGTGGATTTGGTAACTGAAACGCATCAAACGAATTCTGAAGCGTTGAAGCCGCGGTGTTAACTCATCTATTGCTTTAGATTGTAGTACCTGCACCAATGGTTTGTGATCGATTTCAAAAATGATTGGACTGCCAGTCACATATTCTTTAAATTTGTCAGCTGCCCAAGCTAAAGCAACAGCCTCACATTTAATCTGAGTATACCTATGTTCAGTACTGGGGAGGAGTCGGGAAGCATATGCTACTATTTCTTTCTTTCCATCATGTGATATTTGATACAAACAAGCTCCAATGCCAAAAGAAGAAGCATCCACAGAAACAACAATTTTTTGATTTGGATCAAAGTATGCCAAACAAGGACTATTTTGAGGAAGACTTTTAAATTTTTCAAATGATTGCTTTTGTGCCTCATGCCACACGAAAAGCTTATGTTTTTTTAATAAAGATGTCAGAGGTTCCAAAATTTGTGAGCGATTAGGTAAAAATCTACTTGAAAAATAGCTCGGTTCTATTTGAGGGCTCTGGAAATTTTTCCATAGAAGAAAGTCTTTCTGGGTCGATAGAAATACCATTTTCGAAAATTACATGCCCTAAAAATGTCAATTCCTTCAGACTTAATTCTAGAAAGAACACGAAAAAGAATTTTGTCATGCGTAGGCGCATGAATAAGAATGTCGTCTATATGACTGATAACGCCTTCGATTCCAGAAAGAATTTTGTTTAATAGAATTGAAAAGTAATCTGGTGCACACGTGATTCCAAATGAAACCCTTTTAAAGAAATATTGGCTGAAAGGAGTTATGAAAATGGTGAGGTGTTGAGATTCCTCACTTAAACGAATTTGGTAGAATCCAGAGTTTGTGTCTAACTTACTAAAAAATTTCGAACCTTGAACTTGAGCTAGGATAGTTTCTACCTTACCTATAGGAAAGTATTGACGCAAAACGGCCTGATTCAGTTTAGTATAGTCAACACAAAGTCAGATTTTAGAATTTTTATTTACAAATACTATGGGGCTGACCCACGGAGTGTATTCATCAATAGGCTGAATTATATCTAATTTTTGTAATCGTTCAAGTTCTGATTTAAGTGGCTTTAGCAAAAAATCTTGTAACACTTTTTTACCTAAACTAGTGCTTTCGACTGCACAAATTTTAGGTCCTACACCATCTGCAAACTGAAGTAGCTTTAGATCCAAGATAGCTGATCGGCCCATAATGGGTTTCATTAAACATTTTATAACAAACAGATCAGTTGAATAAATATCATTATTTCTAATTAGCTCCACAGAAAGAAAACCTAGAACTTCTAACTTGGAACCAGTAGGACCAATAATTTTACTGTTAGAGGGATATAAGTTTGCTAATAAATGTGAAAGTAAAAAACTGCTGGGAATACAGCTTATATCTGCGCCAGAATCTACCAAAAACTCGACATTTTTGTATAGCTTAGACAGAAATAAATGTATGTTCCACTCTTTGCAATCAATATTATTTATTTTTAGATGAATATACCCTAGAAAATCATTTTCTTCGTTATTTTGGGTAGATTCTGGCATATCATTAGAATCATTATCATCAAATTGTAAAGATCTGACCTTATTCCTACAAACCACGGCCCAATATCCCACTTTCTTGCATTTGTTGCATTTGGAATTCTTTGCTGGACAGTTGTCTCTATTAACATGTTGCTGCAAACCACAATACCAACACTTTTTTACTTCCTTTTTCTCCACTCTTTCGAATCTCCTGGAATCCTGCGTAAAGTTGTTCTTGTAATGCTTGTTGTCTTGATTATCACTTGAATTTGAATAACCCATTTTAGCTACCTGTCGCTGCCGACTTTCCTGAAGTACTTTGGGAAGCTTGTACCTCAGCTTGCTTAGCTGTTCTGACACAGTCGTCTTATGTTAAATTGGCTTGGGGTTGTAAGCTGTTAGTGGTTTTTGGGTATCTAACATTCCAACCACGATTCAGTCTCGAATTAGTTCATTTTTGAGCTGACCATATTCACACGTTTCTGCTAGCGAGTGAAGACTGGTTATGAAACATTCTAT